TAATTGTAATACTCCGATTTTATTGCAAGGCACATAGTGTAAAGAAAACTACGTTAGGATAAGCAATTTGTCAAAGAGGAACAATCAATAAGGAAAGGCCATTTTGAAAATCAATCAGATTTTCACAAGCTGTTATTTGTTTTTGGAGGTGAAAGGTCATGTTACAAGGAGCTTAAAGCTCCTTAAGATGGCCGAATGGAACTAGCAAATGACAAGCGACTTTTTTTTTTTTTAATGCTGATAAAACAAAAAGATATGAGTCGGATTTACCTCAACAGTGGCTGGCTTGAAGTGCCATGGGGAGATGGTGATTTAGGTATGGTATAGATGCTTACCAAACTGCGTATTATCTAAGAAAGTGACTGTTTTTACTCTAGCAATGCGTTGTTTACAGAACGGGACAGGCGCGTTCCCTGTAAATTATATACCAGATGTCTGGGGACTGGTGTTGTTTCTAAATATAGTCAAGTCAGCTCTTGTGTAGCCACAGCGAGATCTTCACAGTAGGCATTCGAGTCACAGGTGTTGTGCAAAACAGATGTCACAGTGAATAGCTTATCCTCAAGAGTTAAACTGGACATATAAAAAATCTGAGCTACCCCGGTAAAGTTTGACAAGATTGCAAATTTACTGAACTGCTATCTATGAAGATATGTATAATTTTGCCTGGTTTTGACAAAGCTTACAAATCTTTCTAATATAAAACATATCCATATTGAAAGGTAAGAGATTTTATATTGAACACATTTGAACAGAAATTTGCAGTTGCCGAACTTCAGATTTTGAAGGGAAGGAATAGGGCGGGGTGAAGACTTAGTTCAAAACAGGAGCTAGAATTTGATCTAGTATCCTTTGATTCTCACCTGTTACTGGATTAATTTCAGAGACTCTTCTACGGCCTTACAAGGAAACCAGGGAGGTGGAGTTGCTTGGGAGTTAAGTAAGCAGAGTTCAAACAAACAAAAAGCCTTTTGCCTCGAGTCCAGGCATGTACGATTGGTCACTCCTTCAACAGATGGACAGATCTTTATTTCCTGTAGCTTACTTTGGAAAGAAAAACGTAGCGGCAGATGTTGATTGTTGGCTTAAATGCATTTATAAGTCACTCAGCTGCTTTATTTAGTTTAATTAAACTGATAGCAGTGAAAATTATTTTAGTCAATAGCTGCTGCTCTTTATGGCTTGAGTTTCTCTAGTTTTGGAGAAAAATGATGGTTCCATAAGATTCATATTTACCAGTTTGCTTAGCAAAGATAGTAGGTTATTATCTATTGTGCATTTATAGAGCAGGCACTTCACCAGCTTATTTCCAGTCCCTGCTTCAATCCTGTCTAATTGTTGTTGGTGCTTGTCCCATTTTTCGGGGAAAAGTTAGGTGACTTCATGGAAGCCACTGTCCTAAACTGGGGTGCAGATAGATCCTGGCCTGCCTGGCTCCTCAGTGTTTCCCCTCCTGAGCTGCTGGGCTCCAGCCCCATAAACTCCTCCCTTCAGTCTCCTGCCCCTCCCCCACCCCACCCCTGTTCTTAAAGGAATAATGACAGACAGCAGGGGTCCCATGCACGTGGTGTGCCCAGTTTATCCCAGGAAACAACAGGGCAGTGCACTCTCATAGGCTTTGTCCCTGCCTGATGCGCCAAGGGATTCCTCATCCAACATTGCCGATTTCCAGTGGTTTCGTCACTGACACCCCGACACCGGGGTTTCCTGCAGATTACTGTGACATTTAACCCCTCTGTCTTGCCATTGGAGGGGGGCGCCTGGGTGGCTCAGTCCTTAAGCGTCTGTCTTGCCATTGGAGGTCATGTTAATAGAAATAACAGCAAATACACATAGGCTTCAGCCTTTTTTCTTCCCATCGTCATAGGCCTAAGGCTTGGTGATGAAGAAAATGCCAGTGGGACAGGAAGCTGCAGGACAGTCTGAGGGGAAACGTGGCGGTTGGGGTATGGGACACGACATCGAAATACTCACGTTTCCTTATTTTGTTCCCTCTGTGGCCTGTTCTCTAAATGACCCTTTTCCTTTTCTTTTTTTCCTTTCTTTGTGAAGCAAAACATGCTGAAATTGTTCAAAAGTCTAATTTAATATTTTTGATGGGCAAACACATTCGTATGCAGAAGAGTTCCTATTGGCTGCAAATACTGTTAGCTTTGCTGTCCCTTAAAGGTCTTCATAAATATACCAGATAGAAATAAGCCCAAAATGGATCCAAAAGACCCTATCTCTAAGCTTTTCCCAATCCCAACATCTGGTCAATTGCCCTTTAGCTAGTGGCAATGAAAGAACAGGCAGCAATCATGATTTGGCATCATGTGATTCAACATCTATCTTTTAGAGATAAATGGAGGAATGAAATGTATCAAGTCGTTATACAGGAGGGAAAACATGATCATTATAAATACTACAAATGATTATTTAAATTCATATATTTAAGCATTGGTTAGTTTAACTTTATTAATTTACTACTGCTCTGCTGAGTAAGATGAACTTATGTGCTCTCTCTAGAAAGTTAGTATTATAATTTTCTTATTTAAGTATTAACAATAAAATCGATACTATATTCGAAGTCCTCCAGAGTTTCACTTTGCAGTGAAGTTGTTTAATGATAAAAGAGATGTGTATGATTTTTAAAGCATCAGATTTCATCTTAGAAGCTGAAATTGAAACATGGTTGTTCCCCCAAATAACATTTCTTAGGATGTTTTGCACTTTCTTTAGTAAGAAATCATGTTCCACTTTCTTAAGAATTATTGCTCTGTCGCCAAGTTCGAACTCATCAACAAATGTTTACTGGTGTGCATTATTTCAATTCTCGTTTTACGATATAACAGGAGTGTCACATATTGGAAAGAAAGAATACCCCGGAGCTAGTGACAGTAGCTCTTCAGTCGAGAGCTCAAAGAATTGGACGTCTGGCTTGCTACTCCTTTCGAAGAGGCAAGAAATCATGGTGGATGGAAAGGAAAACTGCAGTGTCATAACGAGGAGGACCAACTCTAGTTAGATTATGTGACTCTCCTTAAATGATTTCGCTCCTTTTGGCTCTCCTTCCTCAGCTTTAGAATACAACCAATAACTGTATACTTGAGCGTGGGTGAGAAGGAAATGAGAGAATGCTCAGCGCGCTTGCGCGGCCGTCGTGCACGTAGTCCTCGCTATTTGGCCCCTGCTACTGGTACAGTGAGGAGAAGAGAAGGTCTGGCCTCTGCCCTTAGGATTTGTAGCTTCCGTAACATCCCATAATAGCACTGGATATTAAAAAAATACATGGCTGATTGGCAGTTGACTTCTTCCCTCTCCACCAGGTTCACTGGGTGTTTCATTAATCCTGTGATACGTGTGTGACCCACATTTTATTCAGTGAAATTGCTTGGATCTCCCTTAAGGCGTTTTGGCAAAGTTCTTCTGTAAGACCACAGTGTAGAAGCCTCGGTCTATGTGTAGTAGGCTTTTTCAAAGGTATGAAAACACAGGAGCAATGAAGTGGTTTCTAAAGTACGACTCCTTACCATGTTTCCACTAATTTTCCTGATTTAAGAAGCTTTAGACATGCTTTTCATAAAATGTATGTTTCTCACAGCTAAGGGACTTTATCGAAATTGCGCTCGGACTGATTAGCAGGGTTTTTAAAAATTATCTTTATTTATTGCGTCTCGGGGATCCCAAACAGGAGGAAGAGGTAGTAGATAAGAAGACAGATATTAGCAAACATAATCCCATTACATCGGGAAGATTTTTCTCCCTAGTCAGCCTCACTTCAGTGTATCAGCCATTGATAGCCTTTAAAGTCATGTTTTTCTGATTTGCATAGTTTGCCTGTTTAATCACATTAAAAACCTCCAACATGATCTCTCATGTCCGTTATATAGAATCAACTGTGCTGATCCTGTTTGAATTACAAGAAATCACTGTGCACCCACCCAGTATCATATAAAACCTCCAGGGCAGACCACAGTGGGGAGAGATGGGGGTGGTTAGGTGCCAAGAGGCACTGGGGGAGAGAAGGAAAGGGGGGTTTCCTCAGGGGAGGGCACTGATTTTTCAAATGGGAGGGGTGCAAAAGGCATGTAAGGAGGGGGAACGTGGGGGGGACATGGCAGGTCAGTGCCTTTTCCGTCAGGGCATGGGGTTGAGGGGACAGTACTGTCATCCACTGGCCACTGGTACATGGAGAGTCAGTGAGCCCTGAGTGAGCCCTTAGCACTTTTCAAGACCGCTTCCAACGCCGACGACAGTCTGCTCCTCCCAACCTGTGACACCCCTTTTTAGGGCCCGCCCAGCTTGTTCCAAAGTTCAGGACTTAGGGAATAGCTACTCGGTGTCCTTGGCAACCTGCTGCAGCCCCTTTATACCCTAGGGCAAACTGTAAGGGCAGGGCAGTCTGGGGGGTGCAGAGAGAAGAGGAGACAAGCAGGGCGGGCATGGAATGTAGAGAGTGGGTGTTCCAGCTGCTAGCCCTGCTAAAAGTGCCCTGAAAAAAATGAAACACATATTTTTGTGGCATATCAAGCGACTTTAACCCTTCCCTTCTTTGGAGGGTAGTTCAAAAGGTCCAGGAGTTCTGGGATAGGTCACTTCCAGAACATGCGTTATAACCCTCTGTGTTTGGAAACTGCCAGTCTGGATCCTTTAGACAAGAATCAGATGTCCTGGGGCACCTGGGTGGCTCAGTTGGTTAAGCGACTGCCTTCGGCTCAGGTCATGATCCTGGAGTCCCAGGATCGAGTCCCACATCGGGCTTCCTGCTCAGCAGGGAGTCTGCTTCTCCCTCTGACCCTCTTCCCTCTCGTGCTATCTCTCATTCTCTCTCTCTCAAATAAATAAAATCTTTAAAAAAAAAAAAAAAAAGAATCAGATGTCCTGGTAATGTGGTACAGGTATTTTGATCACCTTGTTGAACACGGACTCTGAAGAGTGTCTATTTCACAGGAACTGATTGTATCTGTTAGGGTTAAAACAGATGACTCACAGATCTTGTTTTCTTTCTTTTCCACCAGGTTCCTGGGCAGATCGGTCACCGCTGCACGAAGCAGCAAGTCAAGGTCGTCTTCTCGCTCTGCGAACATTGTTATCACAGGTAAAATATTACTTATGGCTTGAAATATGCCCCTTTCCTGTGAGCGTAGCACATTAATTTTCAAAAGTAATCAACTCAAAAATAAGAAAGCTGCCTAGTAAATGTCACCAGTCTTTTTTGTTTTAACCCCTCTATCAGTCAGGTCCCTAGTTCCCACTTATCTTTGAAATGTCTTTATAAATATTTTGGTATAATCTTTTGTCTCAATAGTTCAAGCTTCTCATACAGTGTGCTTGTTCCCTGATAGACCTAGTTCAGCAAGAAGTTAATTGGACGTACATATTATTCATTAAGCGCTTCGAACTGCTTAACTCTATACAATGTGGGCAGCTAATTGCAAAGGAAGTTTTAGTCATAAAATAGCCAAAAGGGGATCATCAGAGCAGATGCTTGAGCAATCTTTGTTACATTAATCAGTAATATGTGGTGGGGAGTTGCCCACGGACGGGACAGAACCATCATTTCTCCACCCGCCTGTGCCTCGACTCATCAGAGAAAAGCAGAGATGCCTTACCCGAATGGAAAGGACTCTGGCCTGGCCTGTGCATTTTTTTAAATGTCCAGTGTGGTTCAAATCTACACCCGGATCTGGAAGTCATTGTCCCAGTCCTTCCCAGTATCAGGGAGAGAGGGGTGTTCTCAGATGGCTGACAGGGAAGGAAAGGTGGTGCTGCCCTGGGACTCAAGGCACCTGGACTCCAGGCTGGTACTTCGAGTGAATCACAACATAGCTGACCTTCATTTTCTTATCTAGAAAGGGAGCACGTAGGACCAGATGCTCCTTTAGGGCTCTCCAGTTCCATGATAACCATGCGGCCATTTTGTTTGCTCACCACTTGATGGGGGAAAAAAAAAAAAACAGCAAAAAGTCAGTAATTTCTAAAGGTAACCCCTCGCTCCCCACCCCCTACTGAAAGAGTCATGCAGTTCTTTGAGAGGAGAGCACTCTTAGGATTTTTTTCGACATACATCTCATATCCATGGACACACCAGACAGGAAGAGTCTGAGGCTGCCCCCAAAGCCCAAAGTGAAAGGGAATCTGGACCTTCGCAGATGTTATGCCACCGGGTCACCCGAGGGTGTGGCAGTTAGGAATTAGCTCCCCGAGTCTGACTGCTGGCTAGCCAATTCGAGATCTTTGAAAGGATAACTGAAGAGATCCAAAAAGTTGCCACTCGTTAGTGACCAAGATTTGGCGTGGCTGTTTTCTTGCCTTCGTTTTAAGATTCCTCCTATCCATCCAGGTATTACAAACCACAGTAATCCTTAATATGTTATGGGGATTCAGCCACAAAAATCTTCCTATTATAGTGCTTACTATGATTGTCAATAAGTGGTGAGTTGCCAAAAATAGCAAGAAAGCAAAGAGTCTCATGTCCTAATGAGATTTCATTATTTTAGTCTGATATCATTAGTTTAACTGAAAAAAGGATGTTTAAAGTGTTTACTTGGTTTTGCTTGGATAATAAAATAAAGTGGGATGCTCTCCATATGCTCGACACTGTAACAATAATTGCTATACGTGCGTCATGTCATTTAATCCCCATGATGACCCTAACATTTAAAGGTTAATGTACTCATCCAAATTAAAATAATTACTGCATTATGGAACAGGGCTTCAAACCCAAGTGTAAATGACTTCATAATCAGAGCTCTCAACCTAGTATAGACCTTTGTCACTCCTATCTAGTGACAAAAATTCACAAAGCAGCTTACTACAATTTAGAGTCTTTTTCCCCCTGGTCTGGACTGACCTGTAATGTTACAGCCCCAATCAAAACAAGTGATCCAGCCTATAAATAGTCTTTAGTTCTACAAAACAAAACAACAATAACAACCAAACAATCCATAAAGACCAAAGAAAGTTAAGCAGAATTTAAAGAAAACATTCACAGTCTCAACAAAATACTTAAGGCACTCTGGGGTTTAGAAATGGTGACGTTACAATAATGAGGAGTTTTGACAACTGATTGACTCTATGGCATCGGAATTGGCCTCTCCGTGCTGAACTTAAACCTGATTTCCTGAGAGTCTTTGATCTTGTATATCACTTGTATATCACATTTGTAAAGATGATTTCAGATAACTCTTTGCTCACCTTTCAAAATGACTCATGTCATTTTTAGGGTTATAATGTAAATGCAGTAACTATAGACCATGTCACCCCCTTGCACGAAGCCTGCCTCGGAGACCATGTGGCGTGCGCCAGAACTCTACTGGAAGCTGGAGCTAATGTAGGTACCCTTGAAAACCAATAATTTCACACCTACTGTCTAAGAGAATGGAACAAAGTTCTCATTTTGCTTTTCTTTCCTTCTTAGTAGTTTTCAAAAATAGCAGAATAAAAGTCACATTGCTTCAGTCCTCTCAGTGCACTCTAAGAAGGATTTCCAATCATTGCAAAAATGGCTAGCATGCTGCATAATAATATAGAACATTCTCTAAGTTATTTCCTGCTTTCATGATTCTAAACAGCAATAGGTGGACCTCTTTATGCCTATAATGTTTGCCCGTCTTTTGGATGATTTTCTTTAGATGAATTCTCAGAAAGAGAATTTCCAAGTTCACTAATTCACATTGCCACCAGTCAGATGACCTACCTGATCACAACCTCTGTCAACATTGCATTTGTGGACTTGTTTTGCTAAGTGAAAGGCACCTAACCACTGAATTAGTTTTTGTGTATTTGATTCTGGAGTATATATTTATTTTCATGACATTTACTAGCTGCATGCCCACTCTTGCAAATTACCTACCACATCATATTTCTGCTTCTCTCTTGTCTTTTAAAAGCTTTGCTTATTGATGTGTAGGAGCTAAATATACTTGGTCATATTTACTGCATACATTTTCCCAATGATTTCTGTTGGATCGTATAACTGTTCTAAACGCCTCGCATTTAATCACGTGGGGCTGTGAATCTCAGTCTCAAACTTTGCGTTGGTTTAGGTAAACGCCCTCACGGTAGATGGAGTGACTCCGTTATTCAACGCATGCTCACAAGGCAGTACTAGCTGTACGGGACTTCTTTTGGAATATGGTGCCAAGCCCCAGCTGGAGTCGTGTCTTCCTTCTCCCACCCACGAGGCCGCCAGTAAAGGTAACGTAGTTATCAGAGTCAGTGACAAGAAGAGGAAGTTCCTTTAGCAACACGCAGTGCTCCATTTTTCTTCCAATGAGTCACTGCCGGGAACAGCACGACGTGAGGTGCAAGGGGATGGGCGGGCACTGAAGAAAAGTAAACTCATTTCCACCTTGTGTTGGCAGGTCATCATGAATGCCTAGAAATACTGATATCCTGGGGCATAGACGTTGACCAAGACATTCCTCATTTGGGAACTCCTCTTTATGTGGCTTGTATGTCACAGCAGTTCCACTGTATCCGGAAGCTTCTTTATGCGGGTAATTTTCCTTAAATCATCTCCCATTCTGCCCACCATACACACAAGCAATGATTCAGGTCCGTATTTATTTCTCTAAATAATCTGTATAAAGATATCTCATTGCTAAAAGTGTTCTTGGGGCACCTGGGTGGCTCAGTCAGTTAAGCAGCTGTCTCTCGATCTCTTGATCTCAGCTCAGGTTTTGATCTCAGAGTCTAGAGTTCAAGCCCTGCATTGGGCTCCACGCTGGGTGTGGAGGTTACTGAAAAAAAAAAAATGTTCTTATTCTAAGCATTGTCCCATGTAAGTATATAACCAATAATAAAAGAACTGCGTTCTTGATAACTCTACTTCACCCCACAAGTCCAAAAGCCCTACTTACAAAGGTCATAAAATTTAAAACCACAAGGTTGAATATAATGTCGCCAAATAGATATCTATCCATGAATAAATCCATCGAAAGAAATTTTAGGGATAGTAACTGCCTCTCTACCTTATCTTCTACCAATCATAAGAACTCATGGGCTTTCCCAGACTTTGTCGTGTCCCATCTACCGAAATGGACTGCGTGGTCTTTTCCTCTTACTTGAAACAAACCAGTCCCTCAAGGTTCAGCTTTAGCCTCCTGAGAAACTTGTCCTAATCTTTTGAGACCATAGTGGCCTCTCCTGCTATGGGAATGGGAACTCCTCTAAGGATGTGGATTAAGTGCTTTCCCGCATCATCTCGTGGATTAAGTGCTTTCCCGCATCATCTCCTTTCCCTACCACAGTGCCTCTCACGTGGTAGGGACCTAAAATATGTGTAAAATGAGTAAATGGATTTCTAGGCTCTTTACCGTTCGTGGAATCATTTGGCCTCTGATATACATGGACAGCTTTAGTAACCTCTTCCTATGTTACTCACATTATCTTAGCTAAATTATAAGCTTCTTGTAGGCAGTTTCCGCTCTGCTAGTTCACTCCTATAACATCTAGTAAAGGTCTTAAACGTGACCTCTGCTACTCATCATTGACCCAGTGTTATTTTCTGGCTGTGATCTCCCATGAATTTGTATAACCAGAAGAGTTTATTCTTTATTGCCCTTTTTTTTCTTTTTTCTTTTTTTTTACTTTGCTGTGAATGTTATTCTTTCCACCAAATATTTTACATTGGGTAAAAAAGATACTGAGAAAGTGCTGTTAGTAATTGGGGACTGATTGTTATTATCAGCCTCTGTTCTCCCATAAAATTGACATAACCAACAGAGTTTATGCTTTCTCTACGGAGATTTTGTTATGGACTATTATTCTTTCACTGAACATTTTATATTTGTTTAAAAATATGAAAACAATTACATTTATTGAGATTTGAAAGTAGCAGGAAGGCCTAAAGGGACCCTTAAAATGTACTGCTTCTTGTAAACATCATTAGTTTTACTGATAGTATCAGAAAACAGAGTTGAAAGGACTTTATGCATTTTTACCGATAGATATTTCTCGGTGTCCTGACCACTTAGATACTGGAAAATGAGGTTATTATTCTTTCCAGTATTACATGGTATTTATTTGTCGCACATGCATTGAATGATCACCACATGCCAGGGCTCACACTAAGAAAAAATAACTATGCAATAATAAATAATTTAACAGATAAGGGTTTTTTTTAATGTAAGATTTTTTAAAAATTTACTTTGCATGTAGAAATACAGTGTGCCTTTCTACTTAAAGAGACTCAATGCCTTTATATATTTATTGACTTACCCTATATGAGTAAGAAGTGACAGGAAAATCTATATTCATTTTACCTAAATAGCTCACACATCTAGATTCATGAATTATCCAGGAAACAAAAAGAGCTCTATTGCCTCAAAATAAATGAAAAGAAGAAGAGCATTAATAACAATCCTAGGAAATATTAATTATGATGAAAACAGATATGAATGAACCTAATTGTTTATAATACTCTGTTTATAATACTAGTTAATAGGATTACTTTGGGGACTTAAAAGTTTAAAAATATTGTATATTATGGGATCTTTCAAGCATAGAGAAAAAAATATCAGAGAACATAAGCATGTGTACTCTCTACCCAGGTGTACCAAGTTTTAAGATTTAATATCTGTGTGTGTGTATATATATGTGTGTGTGTGTGTATATATATACACATATATATATATAAAGAGAAATAACCCATTACAGACAGAAGTGAGGTCCTCTTGGTGTTACACCTTTCTGCCTGCGCTGAGGTAACTGACTGGTCTAACAGTTTCTGTTTGTATTTCTCATCATTCCCTATTTACATGCAGGTGCTGATGTACAAAAAGGCAAATACTGGGACACTCCATTACACGCTGCTGCCCAACAGTCCAGCACCGAAATTGTAAACTTACTGCTAGAATTTGGAGCAGATATCAATGCCAAAAACACAGAGCTTCTGCGACCTGTAGATGTAGCTACTTCTAGCAGTTTGGTGGAAAGGCTATTGCTTCAACATGAAGGTAAGAATACGTGCGCATTTAAAAACACAAAAATACATTTGCTTGAAATAAACAAAACTGAAAATCTTTTTGTTGGCATATAAACTGATAATGGCGTAACATTTAAAATACTTTGTGTGAAAGCAGATAATTTTTTAACTTAGGTTCTATCCATAAAGAAGATACCACCCTGATCTTAATTTTCTTTTTTTCACCTTACCTAAACTTCATGTTCATTTGGTTAACCTAAATAGGTTGGTTTGTTTTGACAATACATAATATGTAATTCTGTTTAATGTCTGCTTATAAAGATTTGGAAACATGCCCCATTTCCTAAGGGCATACAGCTTCTATGGCATGTTGTAGAAACGGAATCAGGAAATATTTTCACACCTAAGACTTTTGCTATTCTAAAACAGAATCTCTCTCCCCCTTTTTTTAAGTTTTATTTATTTAAGTAATCTCTATATCCAATGTGGATCTCGAACTCACAATCCCAAGATCGAGGGTTGCATGCTCTTCCAAAAGAGCCAGCCAGACACCACCAAAGCAGACTTTCTTAAGCCTGGTTCAGACACTATAATAAAATTCATTTTGGCTTAACTAGTAAACGTAATTTGAGAAAAAATATAACTTAAAATTTCCCCCGTTAGTGCCTAACACTTACTGAGGCTTTTGAGTTCTATCTTCCTTGAAAAGCAGAATTTATTTCTGAGGTTTCAAATGCAACAACAGTATCATAAGCCTGAAGATGTTAATGTTTTATAGAACCCATGTAGAGGGGCCCCTGGGTGGCTCAGCTGGTTAAGCATCTGACTTTTGGTCTCGGCTCAGGTCAAGATCTCAGGGTTGTGATATCAGAGTCATGAGATCCAGCCCCTCATCAGGCTCCACACTCAGTGGAGAGTCGGCTTGAGATTCTCTCTCTCCCCTTCTCCCTCAGCCCTTCTCTCCTGGGCATGCTCTCTCTTTCTAATAAATAAATAAATCTTTTTTTTAAAGAACCCATATGGAATATACCACAATTATAATAAAAGCTTATAAATAACAGCAATATAAATGCTTTTGCAAATGCTCCTGGTATAGTGGTCATACTGCCCTAGTTTGCTTGAAAGCACTGTAACTTATTTATGGTTTATTTCATGCATCTTTTAGCATATAAAAACCCATTTCGATTTTAATTAACAAATACTTTCTTGTCTTTTGTAGCGACTCCAAGCACTCTTTGCCAACTTTGCCGACTCTGTATCCGAAACTACATAGGAAGACCAAGATTGCACCTTATCCCACAGCTCCAGCTGCCGACATTATTGCAGAACTTCTTACAGTATCGATAATGCAGTAAAATAATTCTGAATTCTTTCAAACTCATTTCTATTTCATCCGCATAGTGTATATTTTATATTAAATTACGCTAGAGTGTAAGTGAATAGGGGGCCCCAGTGAAGAGGTGAATTTAAATTATAAGTGTACTAGTGAGTACTACTGTTTTATGCATTTCTACTGTTTTTTGGACTATAGCATATTTAACATCCCTATATGTTATTAGTCATTCCCATGTACCCTTTTGGATTTAGGGGGGGAGAAAAAGGGAAATCTCCATTTCATGTCTTTTTAAAGTGAAAAAGAAAAATACGAACTCCTTTCTTCAAATAATGCATTAACTTTTAAGTGTTAGCCACTGTAATTGATTATCTCTCTGTATTTTTCATATTAATGCAAAATATGCGTATGGTTTAGAAAATGACAACTAATATCTTTTGAAATAAAGATGGCTGTCATTCAGGAAACCCACTATATTGAATGTGCCCCTGTAGTTATAATGATCAATTCATGAAGCAAAGATAACTTGCCCCTTCCCTGCAAAGATCTCACTAGTCACTTCACCACCTTCAACGTCCCCATTCCAGAAAGTGGTGGGACTCTGGTTATGGCTCCTTCTGTCTCATCCTGAGATGGTTGGAACATTACACCCCTGCTAAGGTTTTTTAAGACCTCCTCCTTCTCCAGGGTGGCCTCTGAGAGTCTCTCTTCAGTGCTTGTGTACATAGACTCCAGCCTTCTTCCGCCCCAGAAACTGTCGCTAGCTGGTGGGGCCTGGACCGAAGAAATTGAACTTCATACCCAATTGATAAAAAGGCCTCCGGGTCACGCTCCAGGATCAGGGCAGTCCAAGGTTGTGGAAAACAGAAGATGAAAATCTCCTTAAATTGTGGGGGTTTCAAAGAAAAGAAAGAGGGGGTGCCACTTAGCAAACTTAGAGACCTTATAAAATTAGCCCCATACATAGACCTTACTAGTGCTGTTTCCAGTCCCTCTTACACAAAGCAAGGGTTCGGTGTAGACTATTAGGAAGGGAGTGTCGGGGTACAAAGTAGTGTCCTCTGCAAGGGTTCAGACTGTGTTCAGTGTCCTCTGCTTTAACTGTACTTCAATGCAGTAGAAACCATAATGAAACAAATTTTGTGCCTCCTTTGTAATTTAGACAAGATTTGAGTCTGCTGTGGACTAAGAAATAAGATAATCCGGATACTCACAACTGTGTGAAGTAGAAAATATTTTGATGAGCTTTATAAATTTATCAAATGTTGATAAAATATTTTGACCACGATCTTAATAACCCAGGGGCCTATTTTCCTTTCTCCTTAGTTCTTGGCTGACTTTTGGAGATCCATGGGAAATAAAACTATTCTTGAATGTAACCCCAAAGTCACTAAGATTACCTTTTTTAAAAACCATGTTTAGATTTTCAAAAATAGAAGTTAGGCTCTAGCATGTTTGTTAAAAAAATGTCTTCTATGTGGATAGAGAGTTTTATGAGTCTGTTTTACTGAATATCCCAGCCTAACAAATTTGAAATGTCCTCATGTATAATGTGCATTTCTTTATTATAGAGTAAACTCATTACATATAACTAGGTATCAAACTGTTTTTCTAGTAAAACAGGTTTCTACTAGTATTTTCCCTGAGCTAGAGGTAGTTCTTAGAGTGTAAGGAAATATAATTCATCCCTTAGAGTGTAAGGTACCAATAAGAGAAGTAAATACCAAATATTAAAATTAAAATGGACACCTTAAAATTTTAGTATGCTGGTATCTTGTATCTTTGCTTGAGTATGATTGTCTTATCAAAGAAGTGTTCTAATTTAAATATATCATCTGTTTGTTAATATATTAAAGTGTGACTATTTTCCCTGGAATAAAACACCTTTTCTTTTTTCTCTCCTAATTAGTATTTGATTTTCTAATTGAAGGCAATGGAAAATAAGCTTCAATTGCTCTAATTTTTTCTCCTCCAGTTTTCAAGATTTATATATTTATTTGACACAGAGACACAGCGAGGGTGTGTGTATGTATATGTGCGAGAGAGTGGGAGAGGGAGAAGCAGGCTTCCCACCGAGCAGGGAGCCCGATGTGGGGCTCGATCCCAGGACCCTGGGATCATGACCTGAGCCGAAGGCAGACGCTTAACGACTGAGCCACCCAGGTGGCCTCCCTCCAGTTTTCAAATCATTGTATAATGATTTGAAATATAGAGTATAATGAAACTCTATAATGTAGAGTTGTGCACATTGAAATAGATGCCTTGAAGGTCTCCTAATCCAGATCTTATTATATGTGTGTGTGTGTGTATACACACACACACACATATATACATACGTACACATATACATACACATATATACACACATATATACACACACATACACACATACACACATGTATACACAAACACATATATACAAACACGTATATACACACATATACATACACATATACACACACACACATACACACACACATACATACACACATGTATACACATACAGACACACAAAGATCCAAGGACAAAATTTCACAAAGGGAAAGACCAAGCCAAACCAAACTATTTGACTTGAGATTAAAGAAATGCAGTGAAATAATCATTGTAGCAAGGCATTACTATTTTGTAGGAGAAAGTATTTCATTTCAATTATTGTTTTAAGCACAGAGTATATTTGATGTTTCCGAAGAAGTAAATAGAAACACAGTGTGAATGTATAGCCCCTTGGGAATAGAAGGTCCACAGGTACTCATTGTGTTCCTCGCTCTGTGATGGCCCAGAACCCAAATGACTGCAGTTATCTATCTATCTGACTTTACAAATTCTCTTTTCTTTGGATTATTCTCACTTTTTTACTCTAATTTTTCTACTCTCTTATTCTTTTTTTTTTAAAGATTTTATTTATTTACTTGTCAGACAGAGAGAGAGCACAGCAGGGGGAGAGGGAGAAGCAGCCTCCCTGCTGAGGACGTGGGGCTCGATCCCAGGACCCTGAGATCATGACCTGAGCCGAAATCAAGAGTCAGATGCTTCCCCGACTGAGCCACCCAAGGCGCTCTCTACTTTTTTATTCTTATTATCATTTACAATCAGCTTATTTTAAGGCCTGCCCTCTCTCTCTTAGAAACCTAAATGACCATCCTCAGACTTTTTCAGCATTGATGGCAGGAAATTCATTCAGAAACTTCAGGTTAGTTTTTACCCCTCCAACTGCTGTAGGACCTTCAACACATCACTTCAGCTCTGGAGGCCTCAGTTTTCTCACTTTTTATACGATGGGTTTCTTCCCATTTGGAATAGTGTGTTCAAATTCAAGGAGTCTTTTAATAAGTAACTTTTGAAATTTAAATGCATTTTTCAAAACGTGTTTGGTGTATAAGAGGCTTATGTTGTAGGTACAGATTTTAGAAGCCACATATTCAAGTGGATAAAAGCCAACTTTATTGTCCTAGTAGAACTTCATTTATATCTCAAGCTTCCCTTTCACCCAGTGAAATATGGCCACTTTAGATTGGCTCATTCAATTCAATGATTTCTCAGTCTCTTAGATGCATTTTTCAGAAGAATTCAGTAAATGCAAGCCTCTTTCTTCCCACTCCATTTCTTTCTGGGGTGGCATCTGACTTCCCAAAGATTCGGTGAAATCCGCTATTCGGTGGGAGTGTGCATTGGCCACTGTCTGTCCTCTGGAAGACTCATGTGCATCAAGAGAGGGAGTGGCAGACAGTGATCAGGGGACAGATCACAAAAGGCCTTCATAAGGAGGCTCACAATAGGAAAGTCAAAAAATGGACTTGACTCTCCTCAAGCTCGTCTTGTCTCCTTGCCTTTGCAAATGTTGTTCCCTCTGCCTGGAACACTCTCTACTCCGTTCTGCTACCTTGTATTGCCCTATTCCCGCCACCCATTAGCTAAAAATTGACTCTTCATGTTCAGCTGCAGGTTTCCCTGTCTGAGGACGGTGTGTTTCTCGTTCAACAAAACATTTATATCAAAGCAAGCTCTCTGAAGTTTCTCCTGACAGGTGATAAGTCAAAAACAACTCCTGACTTTGATGGCTATTTGTCTTGTGCAGAAGTTGGGTGGATTTTACAGGATGACTACGGAATACTGTAAACTTCATCAGGCAGTAACTCCAATTATAGCTACTTTTCCATTTGAAGTATCTTTCCTGGCATAAATCACCCCAGTCCCTAGCAACTGGTATGCTGTTACTGATCTGAAAGTACTTCTCTCCTCTATAATAATCTATGAGAACCACCGAGAGTAGTTTGCTTTAATTTAGCGGGACCAATGGTGCACATTCATGATCTTGCCTTAGGTCAAAGCACTTCTCTTGCTCTCTCCCACAAGATCAGCAGAGGTTTTTGGGTGTCTTAACACCCCACAGAACATCACACTGGTCGGCTCTGTTGATGATATCTTGCTGACTGGATCCGATGAACAGGAAATAGCAAGTTCCTTCGATGCCTCAGTCAGATGCAGGTCAGCTAGTGGTAGAGGGAAACATCCCTCCACCTATGAAGCAGGATATCATTCAGCAACCGGTCAGGAAGACAGAAGGAACTACACAAATTAAACAACAAGAATTTAATATAAGGAAAGGGTTAAACATGCTGACGAACTGAAAAACTACAATGGGGCCATCATGATGTGGGAAGCAAAGGCAGAAGAAAAATTATTAAAGTACCTTCCTACCTAGAGTCCTTGAAACAGGCAGAGTGACCTTCTTCTAGGTACTCAGCTGCCTCAGTGTTGACACTTAGCTAAGGCAAAAGGCAATCCTAGCCTGATCTCGCCACTCCAGGATCCTGTAAGTCTACTTTGGAAACTTCTTTCGTCTCTAAAGCCCCCACGATGCATGTTGGCAATCATCCCCCAAGCATATGGCCCACCGATGTACCTCTGAAGGATCCCATGACTCAGGTTTTATGAGACGGTAATAAATGACCTTTCCCCAACAATAGCTAGCCCCCTCGAGGTCCTGGAAAGCTTGCTTCCAAATTCCTTAGAGACTTACACTCTCCCTAACCCCCTCCCATCT